GGATCCTTGCTCCCAGGAATTCCCTAATTTATGAGGATAAGAACACATTGCAGTAAAGATGAAGATGAGACTGCTCCGAAGGAACTGATTAGAGAAACAAGAAAAGGATGAGGGTGAGGGGTAAGGAGACATGTTGGACAGGAAATGGCATAGCCTTTGAAGCAGATCTTTGTACCTGAGCTTTGATCTCAGAGAAATGAAAAAATAAAAAGAATAAATGAAGAAAAAAAGATCTGTGTGTCTTTCTGATACAAACTATCTCTATGTCTCTCCTCGCCCCTCTGGTTGTTGTTTTTTTTATAAACTACCAGCAATCCAATCAAGATATTGGTGACCCAGTGGTGGCTGAGATGCGTCCCTGCCCAGATGGAATACAATCTAATACCTCTCTAATGCCTCAGCCCCTGTAGGCCCCAGCAGCCTTGTTATTGTGTGTGTGTCAGTATGTGTATGAACTTCACTTCAAATATCCCTGGGTAACCCTGTAGTCGGGGAGGTCACACAGTCATCAGGCAGGATCAGGGTGAAAACAGCTGGGGTCGTATTTGTAAAGCTTCTCAGAACCGCACTGCTGCTCTGAGGTACTAGACAGGTCACGTGACCCAATAAACCTCGCTTTAGCTTTAAAGGACAGACAGGGCAAAACTGGTCTGAGATCAGATTCTGAAAGGCTGATAAAAGCTGATTAACAATGAACTCTTTCTGGGTGGGGTGGCTGGCAAAAACAACAACAACCTTAAATTCAGGGAGATTATCATCACAAAGACATTGACGGGCCATATTTTTAGGTTTAGAGAGAGAGACCCTCAAATAGATATGGTTTCCTACAACACTTTTACTGTCATTAAAGTGGCTATAATTGCTATTTTTTGAAAAACAATCTTTCAAATAATGTGACAATCTAAAAGTGGTTGTTCTTAGAGATGAACTTACAGAGAATTACCACCTGAATCTATAGCTCCCCTCAGCTTTACTGAGCTTTATACTGAGTTACAGCTCATTGTTTATCTGTCCAGCCCTAAACTTTACTGTTTTAGTTCTCTCCCCACTCTCATAGAGAGAAACTCACTGCACACTGCTCAGCAGCAAACATCAGACAACTAGCCTGTGATTCCCTAAATGTTTCCCTAAGGAGTTGGTATAAACCAAAAACAGAGCTAAAATACAGCTAACATTTGATCAGGTGGCCAGAAACATGACAAAAAAAGTTATAATAATATATTAGCCAATATTAGCTCATTGTACATATATCAATGTTAGTGAATATGTTAGCTGATAAATGACAAGAAAATAAAGAACAGACATGCCAATGATTATACTGTAAAATGTCCAGACTAGTACATTTCTATATCACAACTGTAAATAAAAACAAGGGGACCTCATCAATTATGTTCTTTTATGTTATGGGTTATGTATAGAAACTTAAAAGTTTAACTACACTCTTTAATTCTGCTAGCTCTATAACTTTCTGCAAATGTAAAAAATACATCAGAGACCTGCAAAGGACAGTGCCTGTATGGGGCGTGGCCTCCACACTGGCCGGAGTAAGTGACAGACTGACCACAGTAGTGTAGCAGGAACAGCAAGCTGGTAGTCAGAGCTAACCAGCAAGGGTGGAGTACCTCTTTAATATCTGCTGATATTTTCACATTTTTTAAACTCCACTTGCTTCAAAAATCCTGTATTGATCAGGCTAGAGTCAATAAGCAACTGTTTGCTAACCACATCATGAAGGATGTAAGTTTGTAAGGATTATAACTTTGAAGCAGGATTACTAACTATTACTCAAAACATATCGTATCAAAAGGACAACAAAATACTGCTACATGGTATTTTAAAATGACAGAGTGTGATCATACACATAGTAGGATAAAGTACAGTGTGCAGAATTTCCATTAAATGAACTGTGATAGCCATCATCAACACTTCCCACGCTCTGACGTCTAATTACAGATTTCATTATTATTTCTCTTGGCCTCTGTTGTGTTCATGCATCACTTGCCAGGAAGACAAATTCTCACACTTACAGCTGGAGACACATTCAAAGATTTAGTGGCAAATTGACCTTTAAAACTCCCACACTGTCCCATGTCAAAACAAATGGACCCAATCCCATTTGCATAATGATTTATAAAAAGGACATTTTTGGTTAATGCTTGTAAGTATGGACGATTTAAACCAGCTTATACATGCAGCAGCTGAATTAACAATTTCTCAGTCCTCTCAAGCAAGTGAGCAGCATACAAAATCTGCATCATCTGTCAGCGAGTGTATCCAGAAGCAACAAGCAACAACAATCTTTGTGCCTGCGTCTCCCTGGGCATGTAAAAATTCACTGATAGTCAACGAAACAGCAAGCCTTCTTCTTCTCTGACCTCTTTTCCTTTCAAATGTCAACGACAATAACTCTCTGGTATATCACAGTTACTTACACACCACCCAGGCTATTCTCTCTGTCTCTCTACCTGTTCAGGTAATCAGTAAAACACAATTTCACAGTACAGTGCCATGGCAATGCAGCTTTGACCACAGTATATAGCGATGTAATTGAGTCTAGTGATTTAATCAGAGTAAAATGACTGACAGCTCTATGAATTGGTGCCTGTTGACAGAATAGATTTGTCAATCATACATTTTTACATGCCTGTAATGTATACACACACACACACACACACACACACACACACACACACACCTTCAGAATGCACTTAAGCTCCACTGTGAATGAAAAGCCTTCCTGTGTGTTCTCCTGTGTGTGAGCGAGTGCACTGAATGACAAGTCTGCCCGGTTAACAGGTATATGAAATGGAAAGAGATTGTGCCTCCCTAAGCAGAATACACAGTCAGGGTTCAGGCTGTACGGTATGTTTCTTTCTGCAGAAGCACAAATGGAAGTCCGCTTTGTGGGGTTGTTTTCTGTAAACCATATACAATAGAACTACTTGAAGAGCTTAATCCCAAAATTAAACATCCATCATGTGAATCATGTAATACCTTGGACATCATAATATAAAAGGTTTCTGCACTTTCAAGTTTCTGTATTGTAAAAAGGTGCCACACAATGCAATCTTTACTCACTTCATGTGATGTTTTTCCCGCTTTTGCAGGAATCACTCTAAACTATTTCAGTCAAACATATAATATATGTAACATTTCCACATAAAAATGTCTATAAATGCTAGGGCTATGTTATATATTTTGTTGAGTTGTGTACTTACATTATCCCAAATGTTTCCAATAAATCTCAAACCCAGAGAAATCCGTACCGTACTTCCTACTTAGTTAAAGCCACTAGTTGCTATAACGTCCACCTAAGCATGGGATACGTTCGATACGTCAGTGAGTGAGAAAGGAAGTCGGTGAAACGTAAATTAAACTTTAGTACATTACCTAACCCCCTAGCGACAGAAATTTCATACTGTAGGTTTTCAGGGGATAAAGTCTGCTTGTTTTGATAATATGAGCAGAGGGGCTGGGATTTCTTTCAAAAAAATCTGATGTAGGGCTGCTAATCATGCAAATTTTCATCATCGATTAATCTGTAAGTAAAGATTTTGATCAGGCAATTAATCATTTATTCATATAATGAGTATAAACAAGTAAGAAAATGCCAATCATAAATTGTCTGAGCCTGAGTGGGCATCATCTGTTTTCTTCAACCAACAATCCAAAACCACAAGACATGTTGGGCACTATGCTCATTCACATTCTGCGAGAGAGATACAGATGAAAAGATCAATACCACTCATGTCTGTATGGTGGAGCCAGCAGCAGTTACCTTAACTTAGCATAAAATCTGGAAGGGGGGAACAGCTAGTCTGGTTCTGTTAAAGTTCAGAAAATCCACCTACCAGCTGCTCTAAAGCACACACTGTTTTACATGCATGTACATGTTTGTTTAATCTACAAAAAACGAAATGTAAAACTGACGTATTTTGGTTTTACAGGACGTTATGTGCCGTGCTGTTTCTTAGCAGTTCTTTCCTGGAGTCAAGATATAACGTGTTAATTAGTGAGCTTTAAAAGTGCAGGATGGTGACTTTTGTTATCATTAGAGACAAGTTAGCTCATTCAACTTGCTTCCAGTCTTTGTGCTAAGATAACCAGCAGCTGGTTGCTTTTCTAATCTAACATAACTAAAGGCTAACTGAGAGGGTAGAGAGATGATTTTATGTGGGTTGGATTTCCTGAAAGGGAATCCATATTGTTGTAGCATTAATATAAAGTAGCTATTAAACTGTATTCCCTTTTTAAAACTGAATTGATTGTGCTATTAGACTCCAGTCCCAAGCCCTATTAAGTGGAGTGTAGAGGTCTGAATAATGTCTTGAGATACCTAATAAGATGAGAGCCAACTTACTGGTGCAATGATTTTATGATAAAGTCCTCTTGGGAGTTCTAGTTCTGTTAGTATACAGACATATGGATTCATATAGCTTTCAAATTAAATCATCACACTGTAACTGTTGCCTTGAAACAATGTCCCACAATGCATGCATAATAAAGCTTTCATATGTGCGAGGAGCGTCAATGAGCTTGCCTATTGTCTAATTCCATTAATTTTCATAATGTGTAATCAGTGCAGCTCTCTGTCCCCGACCCCATAGAAACACCAATCGGCTCTTCACTTGCAATGCCGCCATGGTAACTGGATTAACGAGCGGCGGTACAGTTACTATGGGATGTCGAGATGATAAATGACAGTCTGTCTGGCACCAAATCTGTCTCCTAATCTCAGCTGGAAAACAAAGGACATGGCTAGGAGACAGCTGAGATGAATGAATGTGTGAATGAATGAAACACTGTGGGTGTGTGTAGGTGTATGTGTGTGTGTGTTGGGAGGGTTATTCAGCATAGAAAGGTTTGAGGACAACGTAGGTCAACAGCATTGAGTTGATAGAAACAGGAGATTTAGACAAACAGATAGATGCAAAAAACAAGCAAAACTCTCCCTTTGACACACACACACACACACACACAAACAGGTTGTAGTCTCTCACCTTGTCAGGTGCTTGGCTCTGGAGGCTGCCAACATCCAGTGGAGTGATGAGGGGAACATTTTGAAAGCCGTCCTCCACGCTCACAGGTTTGGCCCCTTTGTCTTGAAGATTACTCCCCAGTTTCACCATCTTTCAACCGCCCTTATATATTCCTTTATTTCCCTGAAGACTGCTCCTGAATGGAGGAGGTGTTGAGAAAGGATGGTTTTACCTCACAGCCTTTCAGGTCAAGGAAACCTGGCACTTGCTGTGACTATTTGATAGAGATTATAGTGTAACAGGAGATTAACTATTAATGATTTTTAACGTGATTGTAGCCTTAAAGTACATATACATGAATACTGTTGAACAAATTGATTAAAAAAATACAGTTTTGTTGGCAGACATGGCAATTAAATTCGGAGCTTGTGGTTAATTAGAAAACGATTGGAAGAAAACACAAAAAAACAAGCACATTTTGTTTGCAATGTAAACGTATCTCGGACTATATTCACAGGAAACCAAAGAGAAGAAACAAACCTCCGCCAATGGCATCATCCACCACCTTTCTCCTTAACAAAAAAACAACATAAAATGTATCCCCACAACAACAACAACAAAAAAACAATAAAAACAGTAAAAAAAAATTAAAAAAAAAACAGCTACTTACAGCTGGTCGTCCTTGTCCGTCCGGGTGCTCTGTGCTGCGGCAGTGTCTGTGGCAGCAGGCGGAGGGGGAGCGCGGATAAGGAGCAGGTAAGGCTGGAGGCTGCGCTGCGGTGTCGCTGCTGCTGATGCTGCGGGAAAGGAACGCTGCACCGCCGGAGACAAACTGGATGTGTGGCGGCAGGTTTTCCTAGCAGCAGGCTGCAGCCCAACCCCCTAATCCAAACACAGCCTCTTCCTCACCGCGCTGCTACACCCAGCCGCTGGAGCTGCCACTAGGGGGATTCTTTTTTATTTTTTTTCCCCCCCCTTGCGGGTTGTTTGTTTGGCCAGTAGTGAAAGCTGATTAAGTTGCCTTTCCATGATGCTCGTAAACTTAAGCCGTGCTGATGAGGATGAGGCAACAACCTGGCAGTTATGGCATTACTGAATAATAGGCTCTTATAAAAGATACATGTTTTAAGAATTAAGAAGATTTTTATATATATACATAAATTATCAGAGCAGCTCTATGAAAGATGTGTATGCAGAGTAAAGTAAGTAAGTAAAATAGAAAATACATTATTTTTAATTTCATTCCCAAACAAAAAAATCACACTTTTCCATTTGTAAATTTGAAAGAGACAAATATCCTGGGACAACAGATCAGACATTAAATATTTCCCACAGTTCTTGAAGACAGCATGAACCATGTGCCACGCAAATTGGTTATCTTGGTCCTACAGCTCCACCTGGTGGTTCAATGAGTGACACACAGTCAGACTTGAGAACCTCTAAAAAAGAAAACTATATTAACTACATACATATTAATGGTGTCAGAGTGTGAAACCATCTGAGAGGCAGATGCTGAGATTTTTTATGTGTTTGTTTGGGAAACGGAGAGAAAATTATTTGAGATAAGTTGTTTCTCCTAGCAAATTTATGTGATAAATAAATAAATCATAAAAGCGAATTAAACATCCTTAAGTATGGTAATATAAATATAAATCAAAAAGGCAAGTAAAAGCTAATTCACAAATAAATATTTGAAAAAGGGAATTCAAACAAGATGATTACTTCAGGTAATTTATGTGCCCTGACAGAGAGGACTATAATTCAGCCAAATTTAGCAATATGACCTATGATTGGTATCTGTGCACATATATATTTCCAGAATACCATAATTTTTCATTATGCTTTGAATAAACACATCATGTATGTATTTTGTATTTTTTTTCAACACAAGGTTGTGCCACAAAATTAAGGTTTGCAGTCCTTTCATCCAACACATAGAAAAATGAAACAAACCTGTGAAACAACCTGAAAAAATGTCTCTGCAAAACACAAGCTGTTCTCTCTGTTCTCTCTGTCCTATATCCAGAGTTTTTCCTTACTCGAATTGAGGGTCTGTTAGATGTTGTACAGATTGTGAAACCCCCTGAGGCAAATTGTAATTTGTGATTTGGGGCTATATAAATCAAATTTGACTTGACTTGAGTAGATCTCTCTAATCAGATGTTTAACAGAATCACAGTGAAATATTCAGAAACATAATTTTCTCTCTCCTTTGCCCTCCATCTCTGCCCCATGACACTATTTTGAACAATTTATCCCTTCAAGACCCGTATCACTTCACGCCTCACATTCTCCTGTGTTGTATGATAACTTCGCTACAGCTACGAAATATTTAATGTACTCTTCCAACCCCTGCCTGCTTTCCTTGGTGGACCTGTTTACCTGCAATGCTTCATTTGCTTAGCATGCTCCCATCCAACTTTCCTATGCCTGAATCAACAAGTCTGCCTGCCCTCATGGACAACAAGGATATTTGCATGCATGGACAATGAGGGCATGTTTTTATCTTCCAGAGAGTCTGCTGCCAACCCCTCCAACACCTCCCCTGCATTGATATGTTATAGTAGTTTGTAAAGATGATGTAGTCTGAGCCCATGTAGGCCGATCTCTGGAAGACTGACAGCACTACACCATGGCATTCTTCCAGCTGACAACATGTTGGCTATCTATCTCGTCCTTGGATCAACCTGAAAGTAGGGAACCTAACCGTTCACTAATTAAGCACAAGGAAATCAAACAACTTCCACCTGGCAGTCCAATCTGTAATGGTGGTTAATGCCAGGGTGTTCTCAAAGCTTCAGTCTTCACTGGAGAAACAGTACCCTCTGTTTGTTTTGTGCTATATGGTAATACAGCTAATTTCCTTATGTTTATTTCCTGGCACCGTCTGAGAAGCTCCTCGTTTGTGTATGCAAATATGTCATATTGATTTTTTAACCTTTAAGTAGATATTACCAAGATGTTCTGTCTTGTAGTAATTTGTCTAAGAAGTGTAATGGTTGCATTCATGTTAGTAGGCGTGGAGAAGATCTGTATTCTGTTAATCCAGCATCCGTATCCCTCGGTACTCTCACCTGGAAAGGTCGTTTGCTACTGCACTCTATTAAGTCTTCTTCAAATCTCAAAGCTGTTTCATACAGCCTGCAGTTTATGCCAGTAGAATCTCATTTCAACAAATTATCATCAGGTGTGAAAGAAAAGGGAATTGTACATGAAATATATTCGTGCCAGCACATTAAATGACGTTTCGATGAGCAACAATCACACTTTTTGTCACACTCAACAGTGCCAGGTGCAACCAGATGGTGGTGATACTGAGCCATCGGTCACTTTGTTACATTTTTTTCTGGAATTTGAAAACAACACATGACCCAGTCAGCTATTGCTTTGATTGTTGGAGAGCATGTCAGGTTTTTATGGATTCACAAAGTGAATGACATGTGTGCCTTGGCCTTAAACTGAGGGTTTATTATAAATTGTTGGAAAGAAATTCTTCACATGACTAAGTCACAAGTACTTTACTCAATTCAGTGGAAAAGAGAAAAGTAAAAAGTAAAAAAGTGAAAAGTAGGTTGACGATTCAGGGTGGATAAGTATTTATGAAAAGATTTAAACACATTATTACATTAGCTATATATTCAAACAGATGACCCAGGCCTTCTAAACATAGTGGTATCCCACCAAAGTAGCTGATCATCATGTCAGTTTTATTCATATAGCCCAATGTCACAAATTACAAATATGCCTGAGAGGGCTTTATAATCTGTACAACACCCACCATCCTTAGATCATTGATTGAAGAGAATTTAAGTCCAGTAAAGAGTCAGTCCATCTTAAAGCTTTTTTGATGGCTGGGAAAGACTGCAAGTGTAAAGGCAAACTTAAAACTTTTTGATACATTTAACAAATGGGACCAGAATCGATTGATAGTATAATCTGTGTCTGTACATTTAGTTTATTAACTCAGTTAAGTGGATTTAGAGTTAAAGATTCAGTGTGTAACATTTAGGAGGATCTGTTGGCAGAAATGGAATATAATAATCATAGATATGTTTTCTTATAGTATAATCAGCTGAACATGATAATCGTGTTGTTGTTACTTTAGAATGACCCGTTTTTAATCTACAGTTGGAACAGGTCCTCTTCTACAGTCTGCCATTTTTAACCACCACGTTTCTCTAGTCGCCCAGAACGGACTAGTTAAACACTGAATCTAGACAGGGCCTTTTGTTTTTTTTCCAAGTTTCGCAGCAACCTTAGTTTCTCTTACATGCTTGGAAGGCTGAACAGTTCAGTTGGTTGCAATCTGCATCTTCATCATTAGATGCCACTAAATCTTATACACTGGACCTTTACCAGCCAAAAATCTTATTTTTGCTGATGTTCAGTGACGCAAAAGTAGACTCCAAGGTGTGGTCAGTACACTATGGCATCACTGCTGGCTGTGGACAATGACAACAACAAACGTGATGTTTTTTTTCTGATTTACAGTCAGAGCTCAATGTTGACTGTTACCATGCACATGGTAATATTACACTACACAACAGAGCCAAACTGTGATTACAACACAGAAAGATGTGACAAAATATGGCGGGGTCACCTTGTGGTTAGTAAAACCCAAAACAGCTTTAAATGCCCAAGACTTAACATAAATAAGCACACCAAGCACATATTTTCATCACAGTTAAGATTTATTTCATTCAACATTTCACATTACAAATATTTAAAAATTATGCATACTGTTATAAATAGTTGGCTGCAAACAATTAAATAACATTAGATTTTTCTTTTTCGTTTCACTAGCACTTCTACAGACCAACTCCTAGAAATATGGACATATCCGTATTACATAACTTAATTAGAAAGGAAAATACAAAAATAGGAACTTATAAAGTGAAATGACAATAAAAATTAAGGTGATATCTTAAGTAAAAAAATGCTATTAATAAATACAACAACCTTCCCATACACAGTTAAAAACTATTGAAATCTTGCCATTAAGTAACATCATTAACAGACAAATATTTAAATATTTATTTTCCTTCAGAAAATGTGAACCATATATTGTGGAGCACAATATAGCAATTAGTAAAAACTAGACACTTTAACATATTAAAAGCTTCACCTCAAAAATATAACAAAAATCTGATCAAAATTATAAAAATCAATTATACATTCCAATTAAAAATATACCAATAAACAGCTAAATACATTGTTGACCTAATAATTACAATGCAATCAATCACAGTAGCTTAAAATAAACAAAATAAGCAAATGAGCACAAAACCTTTAATGTTTTAAAAATAACTTCAATTATTTATATTAGTACAAATAGTTTGATTTCTTTTCTTTTTTACAAACACCAGCATGAAAAGGATTACAATAACAGTAGAAAATGACTGTGAAAAACATATTAACATCTTCTTTAATTAAATGTCTGCAATTAAAAATGGCATTAAAGAATTACATTGCAAAGAGTCTTTATCTGGAAAAAGGTTCAAAAGAAGTATTGCACATAACAACTTGAAGTTAACTTGCAACATTTACCACATTCAAGTCTTTAAGCTCCCCTTCCTCCAGATAGGTCTATATAAGATCACCTCGACAGACAGCGGGGATGAGTTCTCAAGTCTTTTTAAAACAGTGTTCTATAAGGATGCTCAAAGTCCTGCACTGCCAAATCGATTTAAAGTTAAGTTTCTGTCTTGTTTCTCGTCTTATCTCTCTGTCATGTGCATCCTGCAGAGGTCTGCGAATGGGGAAGCGAGGAGATCAACACGTGGGGAGGGGACGGGGACAGGGTGGGGGGTGTGTGTGAGGTGAGGTGAGAGTGGGTTTGGGTTGTTCTTAACAACTTAATAGTTGAGAAACATTTGGTGCACACCACAACAATTAATTTTAATAGCTAATTCATGTACTTGTCATTTTCTCTTTTTTTTTGT